AGAAGGCTGATGCCGCGGTAGTTGGCGCGAATGGCGGGGTCGCCTTTCTTGTGGATTGGGCAGAGCACACTTAAACTCCAATCGTCGGGTATGCGTTCATATGACCATATTCTGCATAAGAGTTGATGCATGCACTCCTCGCCGCTATACTTGAATAGCTCAGCTGGCAGATTGTCAGATCAAGCAGCTTTGTTGTTTATCAGCCGCGCTATGGCTAGTCGTACCTCGACATATTCAGGCGGTGAAACATCGACTCCGTCATCATCGACTGGGGGCTCGGGCTATTCTGCTCCACAACTTTCCGTGCTGCTACCATTCAGTAGGGTGGAAAAGTGTTCCTTCCATAATCGGTAACTAGGTCGCCATTGTTGTTCTTACAGGAGTACGCCCTAGTCTTGAAACCTTCCGTAAGTCGCCTAATTCTCGCTTCCTTCTCCAGCTCCCTATAACGGTCCCACATGCGCCCGATCACTGCGTTGCCCTGTAGGCGGCATAATTTTTTTCTCTGCGGCTTCTTGACATTCCTCGTCGTACCACTTGTTTTTCGGGCTCACTGAAATCCGACTACTCAATCGGCGGCGGTACTTAATGAACGGGAAATGTGGTTCCACTGCTCGCGTATGTCGGATTGTTAAGAGTGCTCTCAGGAAGATTGGGAGAGTCGAGTAGCGAATGAATTGGCTATCTGTTGCGATTGCAGCTTTTCGACGTTAAGCTTTCCTTTCATATTTGGGCGCAAATTTTTTGCTGCACAGAGGCGGGTGCGTATCTTGGCTGCAACAATATAGCGTTTCAAGTCGGTGTTTGGGCCTCGGAGTGTACGTACGTCTAAAACACTTGAAGCGTGCCTTCCGTCTATCACAACATGATCTATCTGGTTTCTCGTTTTTCGATCCAGAGACAGACACCTAGCTTGAGGGATCTTCTTGTGCTTAAACCTAGAACTGCAGACTACCATGTTTCGGGCCCTGGCAAATCGATCAGCCTCAGTCCGTTGTCGGACGTTTCGTCGTAGAGGCTGAATTTTCCGGCGGTGATTCCAAAGTAGGGATGCAAGTCAAAAAAATATATCGATGTTTTTTTTCTATTTGATGCATCGAAATATAGCATCGATTCATATCGCTATATCGTATAAAAACATCGATATTTTCGATGCATCGAATGAAAATATCAATAGTTTCTCTTAATTAAAAATATACAACAAGAAAATGAAACAATCGGAGCTTCGATAAATGTTTAAGTATTAACTCATGACAAAACATTAGAATGTAAAAACATTCTCTCAATTCGTCGACCATGATTTTGTCCTGACGTTTGCAAACATTTTAAAATCATATAAAATTGAAAATAAAAAACTGAAATTGTTCAAAATTGTTCTTGTTTGAGATTAAAAATGAGAATGTGTGTGTGAGCTTGTGTTCGAGTTTTAAAATTCCCTATAAACATTTTGGTGCACGTTCGAAAATTACCTTCGATATCCAATATGAATATCGAACTGAGAACGAAATCATAACCAGTGTTGCCAGTAACTGAGTTAATAAAATCCCATCCAAATATAACCTATATCCGGTTTTATACTAAAGTTATAACAGAAATCCCGCGCTGTATGTATCTATTATACATAAAATGCTTTCCGATGAAAAACAAAAGTATTTGCATTAGAGTGGTCCAAAAATGCGTGTGAAAAAGTAAAGTCGGAAATTTAAGGCAAAGTTCTATACCAAAAGAGTATACCCTTATTTCATTATTTTGAAATAAAAAAAATTTGGTCGTCGCTCAAAGACCTCAAAGTTTTCTCTATATTTTATATGGGGAAAAACCACTTTTCGTAGAAATGGTATAGAATTCTTTAAAATCAATATTTTTCGGCTCTGTTTCTTTCAGGAGACTCCCAATAATATTCAATACCCAATTGTTTATTTTGCCATTTTTTCATAGTAACTATATTTTATATGTCCGTCTAGGGTTGCCAGATTTTTTATGCGCGAAATCAGTACATTAGACCTTTTCATGCTAAAAAAATCAGTACTTTTCAGTACATTTTTATTCGAAGCAAAATTATGAATGTAAGTAACAGATAATACTTTAAATCGCCAGAGAACTAGTTTTATACAATATTTTGGTATATGAATAAAATATAGTTCATAAAAAATAAAAGTGTTATTCATTTTAACATGAGTGTACACATCCTTGTACTCAGAAGCCAATAAATTATTTTATACTAGCAGACCCGGCGAGCTTCGTCCCGCCCAAAATTAATTTTTTGTATTGAAATATTTAAAACGCCCCCCTATAAAATAGCCGCAGTGTTCTCTAAGAGTATGGGATTTATTTCATATATCTCCATACCGGTATGAAATATATTTTGCAATCTTTTATCATACCTACCGAATATGCACCAAAAATTTCATTCAAATCGGTCAAGCCGTTTCGGAGGAGTTCGACCACAAACACCGTGACACGATATTTTTATATATTCGATTTTTCATAACAAAATACTAAAAGTTCTAAATGGAGACAATTTTTTTAGGATAGGGACACCCTAAAATAAATAAATAAATATATAAAATTCCAGTACTCTATGGTGAACACTGCCAGAGGTATGCAGTATGAAAAATTTGGTTTGTCCAGGAGGTGCCACGCCCCCTTTTCCAATAACCGCAATTTTTCTCCACGAGTATGCGCTTGTTTTCATATATCTGCATACCATGTTCGACTCCCCATCCATGAACATCTTCCGGGACATGCAGTATGAAACATTCGGTTTGTATTTTCTTCATGACCATGTGATTGATTTCATACATATCCATACAAAGTTTCCAGTACTCTACCACGAACACTTCCAGAGATATGCAGTATGAAAAATTCGGTTTGTATGGAAATATACTTTACATCCGATTCTCATTCCTACCATATATGCACAAAAAATTTCATAAAGATCGGTCAAGCCGTTTAGGTGGAGTTCGACCACTAACACCGTTTTATATATTAGATTTATGGCATTTTTGAATGCTTAGCAATAATGAGATCATTTGAATCTTCAGTGTTGAGATAGTCAAAGAAGTCTATACATTTCATTTTAAAATTAATTTTAATTTGAAGCTCACTTTAAAAAATTTTAATTAGAACCCGATTTCTCTCTTTGCGTCAGGAAATAACTATATACTTAAGATCCTCTCAGTTGCTCGTTTGATTGTGGTATTGAAAAAAAAACTAAATTACATATTTTTTCAAACTGTGGAAAAGCACCACTATTTAAGAACTTATTCTATATTTCCTCATGGCTTAAATTAACTTTTGCAACTACGCAAAAACTTTGAAAGACTAAGAATTCGCTGAAAAGAGTATCTAACTTTATGTCTCGTATGCAAAACTCTTTTACAATGTCAGTAAATTGTGAAAAAAGAATTGTAAGTTATAGGCAAATTCGTTGTTATTAAACTCAAAGTTATTTTCGAGATATCTAACAACACACGACAAAAAAAAACGTCAACCTCAGCCTTCTTTTTGAATAATTTAAGCTCCATCACACTATTGCAACTGGTACGTAACGACCCGGCGATATGCCCGTTGTTGTATTAATTTCTTGAGCATATCAAACATTATCTGAAACATGTCAACTATAATTAAATTATTTTCTTCTTTTTTTACAATGTAGTTTAAGGAAGTTCCAACGTTATGTAAAAACCTTAAAAAATCCTAAAGTATTTTGTTTGAATTGAAAATTCAGTACAAATCAGTACAAATTTTGAAAAATCAGGACATTAGCGTACTGATTGAGGAAATGAATAAAATCAGTACAAGAGTTGAAAAATCAGTACTGTACTGATAAAATCAGTACGTCTGGCAACCGTATGTCCGTCAAAGACCCCAGAAAATTCGATGATTGTTTATTAAGTAAATTAGGTAGATTTTACTACACACATTGCATTTAACTTATTCGCTTATTCTGATTATCTTTTTCGTTTTGATCTCAGTAAGCAATGAAAAAAACGTTGGCAGTTAGCATTAAAATTATGGAAAAATAATATAAAACTATATCTTCCATAAAATTTCGATACAAGAAATCTCCACTCGCTTTATTTTATTCACTATGTTTGTAAGCTATCTGAAACAATTTTCGAAATTGGGTGTTTAAAATCTGCCCAAATTTCCAAAGGGTTTTAGAGTGTCAATTATCATATCAATTTTGAAGAAAGTTGTTTGGCTATAAACATTTCTACTAATAAATTAGCGCTTTATTAGTACCTTTTGCTTATTATTAATGTAATGTATATTCTAATAGTGCATAAAAAGTGAAATTTCCACATTTAGAATAGTTACTAGAGCGAAGAGTTTGGAATCATAGAAAATAATTTTAATACGTACAGTGTAGTGTACATTGCACACAAACGTCGATGCATCGCAAAAATACATTGATATATCGATATATATCGGAAGGTCCAAAACATCCGTTTTATTCGATGCATCGATGTTCCCGATGCATCGATATTTATTTCGCATCCCTATTCCAAAGATCCCTCAGCTGCCCACCCTGGCATTGAAGTCGCCAAGAACGATTTTGATATCATGGCGAGGGCAGCTCTCCTTGGATGCCTCATCATTCTCTTCCGTCGGGGCATGTGCACAGATGAGCGAGATGTTGAAGAATCTCATCTTGATGCGGATTGTGGCTAGACGCTCGTCCACCGGGGTAAACGACAGTACTCGGCGACGGAGTCTCTCTCCCACCACAAATCCAACACCGAATTTGCGCTTCTTTACATGGCAGCTGTAGTAATCGTCGCAAGGCTCCAGACATTGCTTGCCTTGCCCCGTCCAACGCATTTATTTGATGGCGGTGATGTCTGACTGTGATTTAGGCGGTTTTGCAACTGGTCGATGGGCGGTTTTGCAAAAACATCGACGATATGTATTTAAGATCTTTATTGATATATCGCACCATATGAGTTAAGATAATAAAAACACGTTTTATCTTTGTAGTAGGGCTACCCGTATTGGCATTTCATCTTTTGGGAGTTTCCTACAAACGTGGATTTTTTTGCGATGACAAAACCTTAAAACACCCGTTCAGACAGAATACCGTCAGTAATTGGATGTTATTTCTGATGTGCTTCATAATTCCAATATCAATTGTAAGTATGTATTACAGTTAAGAAATAAGTATACAAGGGTCGTCCATATTTCGTTCCTAAAGTTCGGCCTTAGTTCTCAAACAAGGGTTAAGGCTTTCTTTGAATGATGTGGTGGTCTTGTAGTCCTAGTCATTTTGTATTGGCTGCGTTTCTTTATACATTCCGGATAATCCCATTTCACAACCGGAATAAACAGAATACGTTTGAAATATACGTTAACATATCATCAGGAACGTTCTAAAGAATACGTAAACAAAAAAGTTTATTCCAAACGTTCAGAATGAATAAAGAAATGCGGCCATTATTTTTTCACTTTTTCAAAACTGATAAAGGTTCGTTACATTTGACTGATCGACAACTACTTAGAAAACTAAGTAACAGTATGTTCCCAAGAACAACTTTAAACTTTCTATGCTTCCAAAATTATATGTATGCATAACCAAAATGTATTCAACAAAGTGTGATTGATTTTGACATTGCTCTCATAAGAAACAGGCTATAATGTCAAACTGAAATGAATTCTTAACCCATTTGAAAATATTTTTTTTCAAATTTGAATTTGTTTAAAAAAATTTACACAAAAATTTTTCAAGCAACAAATTGCTAATATACAACTATTTTGGGTCACTGCGATGAGTGTGATCGCAATAATATTTTTTCTTTCCTTTCATCTGCCTCTCTGAACTCATTTTCTTCTAACTATGTATATGTTTAATTGTGCTTATGATTAGTTAAGGATTTACTTATGTTTTGTGTTAGTGCTAAGTTTATTTTAATTTAATTTAATTTAATATGTTACTCTGTAATAAAATACCAAATGAAGTTGATGTACTTTAAAAAGATTCTTATCTTATTTGTACCACCACTTTTGTTCAAATAAATAAATATTTTTACCCTCAGAAAAAAAATTTTCTTAATAAACGTGAAATTGTTAAGAGATACACCGCCGAGGAGAGCAAGTAAGTACATTTAAAGTTTGGTAATAAGTAAATACGTTCGACTTTGCTAAATTATTTAATGTAAGGAAACCAAGATGAAACGGAGCAAAACATTTGAACGGTGCGCTGTATGCAATAGAAGTCAGGACACGAAAATAGTGCGATGTTTTAAACCACCTAGTTGCGAGTTAAGATGGCAGCGATGTGGTGTTGTACTACGTGATTCATCTCGCGTTTGTGAAAACCACTTCAAGAAAAATTATTTCATTTGCTGTCCGTCCGAATCAAGCACTTTCAAAGGAGCTCGTTTGTGCCCAAACTATTTCGCATGAAATAAATTTAGTTTCAAAATTTTTAGAGTTAAGATCTCATATAAAATTGGAAACAAATGTAAAATCATACTTTTATAAGTGTCGAATAATGTTTAGGATAAAAAATTTAAATATAAAAATAAACGCACAAAGGCATAAAACTAGGGCAATTAAAAACAAGAAAATTGCCAAAACGATATTATAAACAATTTGTTTTATTTTATTAACAAAATATATATATTCCAGGTAATGTATCACTAAGGGTTAATTCGTTTGTTTATACTTTTTGACATTATAGTACCCTAAAAGAGAGCCGCACTGAGTTGTCAATCACACCTTGTATAATATACCTTGTGCATAACCAATTCAACACTTTTATTTAACCCGCATTCTGTACTTCAAAAAATATCATAAAGGGATATGGTTTATTTTCTTAGAATTTATAAAATATATTATAATTTTAACACACTTATTCAATTTATTTTCTATCAAATAAATAATGGAGGGTAAATGTTAATGAAATAAATACATTTAAAAGAAAAGAGACAAAATATTTGCGAAGAAAGTGAGTTTTATTACAAAGAATGAAAACTAAATTTCAGATTTTGCCGGTATAAAGAGAGAAAAATTAGTTCACTTTTCCTCAATACATACATTGGCCTGAGGATCTCAACTCAAAAGTTGCCGATTGAAAATATCTTGATTACAGATTTCTAGCGAAAGTTTTCTTGAAAACTCCTAAGAAAGCTGTCCAAGCAATGTGTATTTTATTGAAGAGGTCATCGGATGCCAGTGGTGAAAATTTACATAAAAGAGGACAGTGTCAAAAGCATATTTGCCGAAATTCGGTAAATAGAATATAGTACACTAGTTTATAAGAAAAATTATGTTTTTCATGCTAATAAATATGAGGTCGCTAGACATGAATACGGTATCCAAAAACTTTGTGTGTGCTTCCGGACTTCTTGCCAGCCCTAGAATACTCGAACTCTAATTCCGGTCAAATTTTGTCAAATTGACTCATGGCCGCCAAGACTGTTCAAATACGCGTATGTGCAGCGTTAGGAAAATCAGTGCAGTGCAAATGACATAAAAAATCGGGAGAAACGGAGTTTTCGTAACAGACTTACATATATTATTTTTTTGTGTCTAAATTATAAAATGGTAAATTTACATATTTTCAATCAAATTTTAAGGCAAGAATTTGATTACAGTATGTATGTATAAGAAAAATATATATGTTACATATTTATGTGTATATGTACATATGTACTTATTCAAGGCCAAACATTTTACATCTACACGACATATGTACGTAAGTTCCAAATAGTAGGTACTTGCTGCAAATAATTATTCCGAAAATGCGTTTATAATGTTTTTGTATGAATCTTAAATATTGTAATCTTCCTAATTAATTGCAATAACAAATAATTGAATGCTATAAAAATATAAGTATATATATATATAAGTATAAGTACCCAGCCTTTATAATTTAAATTCCGGATTTAACTCTGAAAACTTTCTTTGTTTAGCAATACAACAAATGATAAGAAATTGAAAGAAATAACTTGTAAACAGACTCTGATTGAAGCAAAATCCGAACGCTGTTACAGACCAATTAGAAAATTTGCTGAACTTATTTAAGTATGGCAAACTTTTACGACAACCTAAATAACGGCAACATTAAAAATTTAAACAAAAACATTATTAGTTCACTAATGCAATAATTTTTCTTTCAGATTACGACAGTAGAGTTTTTCGTTTCGCATTACAATCGAACTCATGGTCGTGCTATGAATTCCGAACGATATTCCATTGGACGGTTAGATATTGCAGACTGGATAGTGGAGGGCTACAAAAAAATTGGTCTATTAATTTTCGGTTCGGGAGTAGGCCAACTAACGATGGATATTGCCAAGTATTCGATTGGTCGTTTGCGCCCGCATTTCTTTGCCGTAAGTCAAGAACGCCAAACAGCTTTCAAACAAAGCTCACTTCATGCAGAATAGTTTTTTCATCTTGTCGTTTATTTTAAAACTTTATTTACCAACTAAAAACTGCGTGAATTGCTATTCTGAAACTCTTCAAATAACAGATATTGAATACAGTTCTTTCTGGTTAATGGAGTTCCTCTCTTTAGCTTAGTGCCCAGCTCTCAAGAAAGGCAAAAACGCCATATAAAAAACACCGAAGAAGTCTCGAAGAAATTTCTTTTTTCAAATTTCCTTTAGGCAGTACGCAGTTCTTCAGAAATTTGCTACGCTACGCTACTACCCTTTTCTAAAGTTTCTTGTGAACAAAAAGCACAAGGAAACCCATGTTTGCAACAAAAATGTATGCCTGTTCCATTAATTCGTGAGGAAAGGGTGAGACAGCAGGCGGTCAAATATCAGATGTCAGAATTCCTTGGACGCTACTATTCACACACACGAAATAATGCCAATTTTTTGCTTGACCGTTTTCCTAAGAGCTGGATACTAAGCTTTATAAGTTAACAACCTCTCCAAAATGAAAGGAAAGCCGAAACATTTAATGCACAGAACATTTGCAATCCTTTGCATAAACAGAAAAAAGACAACAAACCACCTGACTTTGTTAATGTTTGGTTTCCTAACAAACAACAGTTTGAACAGTTTACGTTCAATGTCCGCCAAGATCATTTCTGGAAGTATAAATTAGTTAGCACTACCATGAAGTCACCAAGCAGTCAGTCAAAAGGAATCTATACATACATATGTGCAATAGGGTGGTCCAAAATTAGTGAGGTCCGAATTTTGATGCTCTCACACCCTAGGTTTGTTGAATATCGAAAAAGATATACCCCTATTTTTTATTTAGAAATAAATCAAAAAATATTTAGAGGTTGCTCAAAGTTCACCATGTATTTTATATGAGAAAAACACTTTTCGTAGAAATGGTATCGAATTCTTAAAAATTAATATTTTTCGTTCGGAAACCTCTGTTTCTCTGCAGAAGATTCCCAACAATAATACCCAATTGTTTATTTATAGCTTATGGGTCCGCCGAAAACCCCCAAAAGCCCTGAGAAATGCAATGGGGGGGCCAATAAAATATCGTTAGTATTAAAAAACGAATAAATAAACAATTGGGTATTACTATTGAAAGTCTTCTATTTTTTCGGTAAAGAACCATCCTAAGGGGTGCGAGCATAAAAATTCCGACTTTACTTTTTCACACGCATTTTTGGACCATATTTAGGAATTCAAGCTCCAACACTTTGCGATATAATTAAAAGACAATTATGAGTAAAGCCGAAGGTACATAATTTTATTTGCTGCGGCGTAGCGTTGATCCGTTGACGACGTTGAAAAATTTGCTGTTAAACACATAGTTGCCAGCTTAATTTAGTGCTTTTTGAAAATTAAAACGCCCAAAAAAATGGTTTAGTGCCTAGTGCCCTTTTTAGTGCTTTTTTCAGCACTAAAATTTCTGAATTTACAAGAATTTACAAATTTAAATGCACTAAACTGCAAACCATGATTGATAAAAAGATTAAGTTACAAACCCACGTTCTTGCGTTCTTGTTAAATTGCATTCGCGTTGAAAATGCTAGCACGCAGATAAGTTAAGTATTTATTTTTTTATTGATTGATTACACAGTTCGAAACCTTTTAACTTTTTCTGCCACCTGAGTTCATCAGTTTTTGTTGATTTTTCGGTGCTGAATCCAAATCTGGTTGCAGAATTTCTCTACCACGTCAGAACTTTGAGATATCCTAACCTCTAACTGTAAAAACACGGTTTATTATAAAGCAAAAAATTTTTTCGCTTAGGGTATCATTATGTATTACTCTTCCCCTTCAAAATTCAATTTCGTTTGTTGCAATTCGATTATTCTTTCTCCATATGTACCAGTTTTAATGTGCAGTACTTCGGTATTACTTCGCAAGCATGAATGTGTATTTATTTATACATGTAAATATTGTTTATTACCTCCCTTTTATTAGCTCGGGATGTAACTATGTAATATTGATGCGCCTAAAAGATGCAGCGATTTCTATTCTCAAGTTCCATACCTGCTGACAGTACGAATGGAAATTATAATAGCGTGGTGTTAGTTTTTAAACTATAATTTTATTTTTTACTTCTGTTTACCACAAACTGTTATTAAAAAAAGTATCCTTTGATTAAAAAAAAATTAGTGCTTTTAGTGCGGTAAAACGCTCTTTTTTCCAAGGTTTGGTGCTGTTTGAAACTCAAAAGATGGCAACACTGGTTACACACCTTGCGTCGTGCCGCTCATTGTTTTGTAAACAAAAAACAGCTGATATTTAAGCATATCCACAAATGTAATTTCAAATGTCAACGCATGAACGCAAAGAAAAGTAGCGAATTGGTTTACTTTCGGCGGCAACTGCGTTAACGCATTCGTAACGGCGTCGTCTGTAACACCTGTCATACAAACACACGTGTTCAATTTTATTTGACATTGACGGCGTGACGCATTTGCCGGCGAACGCATGTTGTGTACCTTCGCTTTAATACTCGTACAATACATATGTACAAGTATACATGTTTGCCATTTGTTCTATTTCTTTCCTTCAATAGGTTTGCCAGCCCATTTTGGCCGACGGCAGTAGTTGCAACAATGCATTGAATGTAGGACGCTATGTGGAGGATTTTACTTGCTCTGGAAGTGCCACTCCACGTATGCTCAAGCATATGCGTCTTTCCTTCCCCAGTGCGCATGCCAGCTTCGCGTGCTTCACTATGATTTACATGGCGGTATAATTAAAAGCTTTATGTTCAATGGAATTACTAATATTTTAAAATGTAATTATGTATATATGTATTCTTGTTCGCTCTTTTTTTTGCAATGCTGCAGATATATTTGCAGAAGCGCATGAGTTGGGAACGTTGCAAGATGGTTAAACATTTCATGCAATTTCTGCTCGTTATGTTCGCATGGTACACTAGTTTGACACGTGTTTCCGATTACCAGCACCATACGACGGACGTATTAGCTGGTTCGACGATCGGTGCTTTCTATGCGGTTCTCATGGTAAGTTCATGCATGTTTACATATGTATTTACATGCATAGTCGTACAAACACACGATTGAGAGAAATAGAGATTGCGCCAATCGCGGTACCGCCAATCCGCTCTTTGTGATTTTGACAGAATCAGCTGTGTGCGTGACGTCATCTTGGTGCAATTGTTGATTGTGAGCATACGAAAAAACCAATTATTGAAACATTTCAAAGCAAAAGGAAGTGTGCAGGGGCAAAGTGTAATAGTGAAAACAAAAGGAATGCGTGCGATATGTTTTTTTTTTCGTTCCCTACAGACGAAACTCTGGCGAAAAAGGGGAAGCAGTTCTGCCGGCGAGGAGATGCATTAAACACCAAATCGAGCTTTGTGCTATGTGTATGCTATGAGCTTCTACATGGAATCATGTTGGCCTTTCCTTGGTGAATTGTAGTAGGTACATTTCCATGGTGAATGAAGACAGTTGCTGGTTTAGTTTTCTGGCAATGGAAAAAGCAGTTTCTACAGTAAGTAGATACAGGAACTCCACTACCTACTTATTTTTGTTAGTACCTGATTCTTTTTGGTGCTGGTATGAAGAAATGCACCAAGGTCCCCAGGCGCTAATTCAAGCGGCATCTTACCGTGTTGTTACGTACCTAATACAAAACAGTGCCCAAATTATTATACACTTAAAAGTTCAGCTTAAATTATGTTTTACTTACATAAAATATTTATGTCCAAAGAAGCCACACTCATGTATCCTCTCGGAAATGGTACAAAAGTCATCAAATAAAAGCTGTGGAGTTTATGGTGGCTGGCTACCGTCCACAAATATAAATATGCACTCTGCATGGCTTTTTACAATGGCGAGTCCAAAAAATTCACTTTGGTGCACACCTTCCTTTTGGTCTACATGAAATTGCAAACACTGTTAATACATCCATTTTTTCATGTGCTAAAAATCGTACTTACCTAAAGGGCTACATGTCCAAAATTATTTCTACGTGTTCCTAATTAATCAATCTTTGTATATTTTTTGATTCCTGCAAAATTGGGCCATGTAATATTAAAATTAACACATTTTTCTGCATTGTTTACATATTTTTATATGCGTTTTGGCATTTCTCACTCGCAATTGCACCAAGATGACGTCACGCAAAAATTACGCTCAAAAATCCTCTCTCATTGGCGCAATCTTGTATTCTATCCTTCTTGGTACAAACATGGGTTTGTAAATAAAACGCTATTGTCTACAACCTGTATTTCTGATAAATTTTGTTAATTTTTTACAGACGCGGACAATGTGGTGATCAGTTGTCTAAGTATTTGCAACTAATGTACCAAACGCCGTAGGCTATGGAACTTTCAAAAAGCTGTTTATGTGCAAATTTATATTTTCCAAGTGTGAAATAATAACCACCATTAATTTTGAATTGTAATAGAATACAGTTAATCGAATAAATAAATGTTTTAATTACTTTACGTGATGGTCTTGTAACCGCAAAACTCATTGTTCACCAGTGCTCGTTTTGAACTAATGATCTTGGATGGTAAAAAATAAAGCTGCCGGAAATAAAATGAAGCGACCAGTACCTATTTAATTTCTAGACATTTCTTTGACAAGCAGTTTCGTGTATAAAGTAGTTTGCTGGGTATCAAGGAGCTTAGCAATTCATCGTTCAAGACTTGAGCTCCAAACTTCGTAGCTAATTCTAACATAGGCCCAGATGTACAAAAAGTGTTCAACAGTCTCATCGTTTATCATTTTATATACATATTTGTTACTCATAATACAAGCGAATTGGTTATTAGATCTAACGTAGAGTAGTTATCGCGGTAGCCCCGAAAGTTTTCTCATTTTTTGTTCGACATTGTTCCCATTTCTGCACCGCATAGAAAGATGGACGCGATAAGAGAATTGTAGAGCATAGGTCTTTTTCGTTTAGAAGGAGTTATATTTCTGTTGTTCAATTCCCTACCAAGCCCCTAATAAAACTTGTTGGCAAGGGGTTTTCTTTGTTTGATGTCCAGGTTTATATTATTGGCGGTGCTTATGCTATACTCTAAATAAATGAAGTTATTTTATATATATTACGCGCAAAAAAGGTCAGCGAAAACAACGTCGATTTCCACTTTGGTCGAGTTCAACATAGCACTACAGTCGCGTTTCCAGTGGCGGATAGAGGAAATCTTGTCATTATGGTAAGCACTATGTCGTTACCTAGGGTGACCAGACCAGATAAATCAGGACTATCAGGACACGCCCTTATTTCAGGGTCGAATTAAAGTGTCCTGACTAGGGATATGCTGGGTTTCCGGTAGATATCCGGAATCCGGCAGTTTTTCTGTTATCCGACTATCCGGCCGGATTTCCGGATTTAAATTATGGAAGATTCAATTTAAAAATCTAGTTCAGACTTTTTTTTTGTATTTTTATAATCCAATTTAATGTTAGATACCCTTAGTAATTAAAGTCAAAAATTTCAAGGCTGCAATTTAGTTTGGCATCCCCGGAGTTCCTCATTAAGGTAGCTATGGAACGGTAGAGGGAGTTCTCCTGATTGCAAATATATATACTTTTAGCCGCAGCAGGCTTATAGTTTTTAAGTTATTTGTTGTTAAAGTTTGTAAATTGAACTAACCTCCCGGCGCTATTTCACACAATAAACACTATATTTACGTACACACCTCGGCAAAATAGTTGCATTAAAACCCCGGCCTGAGATTTCCACTTTAATATACAATTCTTAATTAATTAATTAAGTTAAACGCGTTTATAAATGTCTTCACAAACGATTGCACATTTCACAAACAAGCAGAAATAACAATGGCTGACAGTAACACAAAATGTATGCTACCATACGTTAAAAAAAATAATATTTACTGGTGTTATTGTAGTTCAAAGTACACAAATGTAGAAAACGTACATCGATAATTTGATAAATAATGAAAATTTTTAATTAAAAATTTTCGCCTGCCGCGCTTTCTCTATAAAAATCAATACTTCGATAAATAATGAAAATTTTTAATAAAAAATCGCGCGATTTTTTATAAAACTTTTCGCCTGCGGGGCTTTTTCCATAAAAATCAATACTTCGATAAATAATGAAAATTTTTAATAAAAAATCGCACGATTTTTTATTAAAACTTTTAGCCTGCGGCGCTTGTCATTTTTTTAATATATTGGGGGTGTTTAACCCCATATCCTCCTTTACTACTAATTCAACGCTGAGCAGGAAAATGGGTACGATAAAAACTATTCTCTGTTATTGTTATTTTCTTAGAAGTGGCAGCACTCTTCTTATGTCAGTGGAAACCATGGTTGAATCAACAGTTCTATATTCACAATGTGCGTATACATATATAAGTGCGTGATAATTATAAAAACTTACTTAATTTACTAAAAATACATCATAAATGTTAAAAATATGGCTACATTTCATTGTGCGGTGTTTTAATGCAACTATTTTGCCGAAGTGTGTACATAAATGTAGTGTTTATTGTGTGAAATAGCGCCGAGAGGTTAGTTCAATTTACAAACTTTAACAACAAATAACTTAAAAACTGTAAGCCTCCTGCGGCTAAAAGTATATATATTTGCAATCAGGAGAACCAAGCGATTTTGGCCGAGTTTAGCAAAGCACACCAGTCGTTTCTCTTCTGTGCCAACTGACGCCAATTGGAACCGCCAGGTGAAGGCAAGTCCTTCTCCACCTGATCTTTCCATCGCAGTGGGGGCCTCCCTCTTCCTCTGCTACCACCAGCGCCTTCCGAGTTGATAACTTTCAGAGCTGGTGCGTCAGTGTCCATTCGAACGACATGGCCAAGCCAGCGGAGCCGCTGTGTTTTAATTCGCTACATTATGTTCATGTCGTTGTAAAGCTCATACAGCTCATCGTTCCATTGTCTGCGGTACTCGCCGTCGCCAACGCGTAAACGCCCGTAAATCTTTCTCTCGAATACTACAAGAGCCGCCTCATCGGTAGGGATGGCAAAATCGACTTCGACTTTTGACCAAAATCGACTAAAATGCCAATAAACTTAATGTGATAAGTGTGGTAGAGATATGAATTTTAATGACAGTACAACAACATTGTTAAATTATTTAAGAGCAGTGCATAAATTTATTACGCAGCATTTTTACTGAATTTAAAATGCAACATTTAGCACTTTCGAACATGTATTTCGAACAGCGTTCATGCTATCGCATTTAGCAAATGTACATCTACGCGAGTTCGAAATCGTATGCTTTAGACAAACAGCCGTGTTCCAGTCGCTTATTCAGATCCGTATCCATCACGATCAATTCGCGCAGAGAAGATAATATGCAAAAAATCCTGCTGAAAAGGGAAAAGGAAGTTTTAAACAAAAATTCAATACAAAACCTTGAATTGTTTTAACAATAACCAAAAATTCGCTTGTGTATATATTCGTTTGTCGGTGCTGCCAATTGAAATTTTCTCAATTAAATAGGAAAAAGCAAACAGAGTTGATCACAAATTGAGCCACATTTCTATCA